CGGCCCCGGCGACGGAATCGCCGTCTCCGGTCCGCGGCCCGCCCCCCCCCTCCCCCCCTCACCGCTGCCCGCATGGTTCGTTCCGAGAGGGGGCGCCACAGAGCTGGCCCTACCGCGGCGCAGAGCGGCTCACTTCCTTGGGGCGCTTCCGAACGCACAGCGCCCCCTGGGGGAGGGAGGCTCCACGGCGGTACTGCAGAGCCATGGCCCGGGGCGGGGACGGACGGAGACGGGAACAGGGGACGAGGAGAGAACGGGGGGGACCTACATGGGAGCAGGGGACATGGGACATGGGCAGGGGCCATGGGGGACACAGGGACATCGGGGGCACCGACATGGGGACATGGGGAAGGCAGGGACATGAGGACATGGCACCACAGGGGCGTGGGGGACACAGGGACGTAAGGAAAGGGGGGAAATGGGGACATATGGACATAAGGGACAGAGGGACACAGAGGATACTGGAGACAGGGACGTGTGGGGCAGGGGGACACAGAGAAATAAGGAAAGGGGGGACACGGGGACATGGGGACACTGGCACCGGGCCACCCCCACCGCCGTGGGGACGCGTGTCCTGGTGTAAGTAGCAGGGAGGGCTGGGGCTGTGGCGTGTCACCGAGCGGAGGGCTGGGCACACGCCGTGACACACGTGTCTGTGCCGTGCAGCCCCGGGGCCACCGGTGTGGCCGGGACCGGCCGCAGGGCTATTTTTACCTGGCCCTGCTGGCACCATCGTCCCCGTCCCTCCTGCAGCAGCCCCTGCTGAGGGGCTGGGGACAGGGCTGGGGCTGGGGACAAGGGGGGCAGAGGCCAGCCCTGTGCTGCAGGGAGGGGACAGGGACCCCCCAACGCTGCTCTGACCCAGCCGGTGGCCTTGGGGGCTGGGGGGCTGCTCGCCCTGGTGGCCTTGGCACTGTGACGGGTGTTGGGACAGGCAGCTGCTGTGGCACGGCACGGCACGGCCATTCCTGCCCCACGGCATGGCCATTCCTGCCCCACGGCACGGCACGGCACGGCCATTCCTGCCCCACGGCACAGCACGGCACGGCCATTCCTGCCCCACGGCATGGCCATTCCTGCCCCACGGCATGGCGTGGTTGTTCCTGCCCCACAGCCGGAGCTGAGCCATGCTGTGCCATACCAGTAGCCCACCCCGTCCCCGCC